CAGGTGAGAATCCCAAAATACACCACATGTCATATTGAAGTGAGTAGCACTAAATTCAGCATCGCAGTTACAGTTTAACTGTTACAGACTAAGAGAGTATTAGTAATAGTTCCCAATCATGCTTGGAAATTAGTGTGAAGTTCTTTATTTTCTATCTACCTTGATGGATAGTACAACACTAGAGAATAGCACTTAAAACTGTGTCTACATCAGCGATTCTCAACCTTCCTAATGCTGCAACCTCTTAATAAAGTTCCTCATGTTGTGGTGACCCCCGACCATAAGATTATTTTAATTGCTACTTCATAACTCTAATTTTTGCTACTGTTGTGTATCATAATGTAAATATCTGATATGCAGGATGTATTTTCATTCACTGGACCAAATTTGGCACAAATACCTGATATGCACAAATTTGAATACAGATGGAGTTTGGAGGATTGATTTTGTCTTTTGAGAATTGTAGTTGCTGGGATTTATAGATCACCTACAATCGAAGAGCATTCTGAACTCCTCCAATGATGGAATTGAACCAAACTTGGCACACACAACTCCTATGACCATCAGAAAATACTGGAAAGGTTTGGTGGGCACTGACCTTGAGTTTTGGAGTTGTAGTTCACCTACATCCAGAGAGCACTGTGGACTCAAACAATAATGGATCGGGAATAAACTTGGCACAAATACTCAATATGCCAAAATGTGAACACTGTTGAACTTTGGGAAAAATAGACCTTGAAATTTGGAAGTTTTAGTTGCTGGAATTTATAGTTCACCTACAATCAAAGAGCATTCTGAACTCCACTAATGATGGAATTGAACCAAACTTGGCACACAGAACTCCCATGACCAACAGAAATTACTGGAAGGGTCTGGTGGGCATTGACCTTGAGTTTTGGAGTTGCAGTTCACCTACATCCAGAGATCACTGTGGACTCAAACAATAATGGATCTGGACTAAACTATGCCCAAATGTGAACACTGATGAAGTTTGGAGAAAATAGACTTGACATTTGGGAGTAGCAGTTGCTGGGATTTATAGTTCACCTACAATCAAAAAGCATTCTGAACCCCGCTAATGATAGAATTGGGCCAAACTTCCCACACAGAACCCTCATGACCAACAGAAAATACTGATGGTCTTTGGTGACCCCTCTGACATACTGTTGTGACCCCCCCCCCTGGGTCGTGACCCCCAGGTTGAGAAACACTGGTCTACATTAAGAAAGGTTAATTATGTTATTTTGTTTGTTTTGTCTAATATAATATTTATTGATTTTTTTACCAATGTTGAAATGTCATCCGTATGTCCTTGTAGCTAAGCAAACAAATGTTTAACTAGTTTTAGAAATGCTGTTTTTAAAGAACAGGTATAGTGACTGCATTTCCTTGTGGATAACCTCTTCAGAATACACAAATGACAACAGTGTCAACAACTGTGATAAGTGTACAGAATCTAGCATCTCTAAGGAAATATGAACCAGCAGTAATACACCAACCCTTCCACTGCTGATTACAGTATTCTGTAAATGTCAAAGTCCCACAGCACAAGCTCAGGCTGACAAAGTACGAAATAAACTTCTTAGTTCAATGGGCAAATGCGCAAAAAAGGAAATATATTTTCTGTCAACACAGATGAAAATGTCAATATTCCTAACAACATTTCAACCCCAAGAAAGGCAAAAAAGCATCAACCTCCATTAAATATATTAGGACACATATAATCAGCACCTTAAAAATGATATGTGCATCCAATATCCTCTCAACACCCTTCTCCAGCTGTGAGAATTCAACAGTACATCAGAGGAGCAAGTACATTCATCCCCTTGGAAAAGGAAAACATCTTTTTTCCATACAGTGATGTACATACAGTCACTTTGTGGAAAATCGACGCACATCGTGACATTCAAAATCTACTCATGTCTCGAGAAGACGCAACCAAACTCCCAACTTTGTTCAAGCACGGCTATTAGACACAGTACACTATCCATCACATCCCGCCACAAAACCTCCCTGCTTCCCAGTTATTAAACTGTCTGCAGAAAGGAGATATGTCAAAAATATTTGGGATAAAGGAGACTGCATTGTATTAATGACTTAATATGTTCCTCTCCTCAAAAAAATGGAACTACAGATGTCTGAGGATGGATTCCCAAATCGAATATGAAGCAGGTGTTTGAAGTTGCGTGGAAATTGGAAGGAAGCTAAAACGGAACTAGTGTTGAAAAGCTGATTTTGCCAGACTTCCTTCCTTCCAACCACATTCTCACCATTCCTTCTTCCTGGTGGCTTCTCACTGACATAACCAGAAGCAGGAGGATTTACAGACAGCCAAAGGAATTTGAAATGCACATGCAAACCGATGCCGGAATACAACCTCTCACTCAACCTATTTAAAAAGAAGGAAGCAATCAAGCAAGCATCTTAACCATTCAAATAATGGAAAATAGATTCTTTGGACAGCACAGAATCTTTTTGCATTTTCCCCCTTCTTCTGTTTGCACGACAACTGATAGATACATACACACACACTGCAGAAAAATGACCACTTATCCCAGCCTTTAGAAGCTGAATTATTCTCTTATCCCTTTTGATTCTTTCCTCGTGCCAGAGGGACAGAGAAAGACAGAGCAAGGAAGAGAGGGGAAAGGCACATGTTTTGCACCAATGTGGGAATGGAAAGCGGGGAACCACACATATTTTTGCATTGCTTTATAAGTTTTGAGCCACTTGGGGTTCCCAATCTTGGGGGGAAAGCAGGATACAAACACATATTATAATAATAATGTGACCATAACAATGAATATATATAACCACATTGGCTACAAATACATTTTGCATGTCAACAGATAGTCTTCCTTATGACAGGGGGATGGATAGTGGCCCTGGTTAGGAGAATACAAAGGCAAGAGGACAGCAAGGATGGGTGCCTGGAAAAAAAGAAAGGAAGGATGGTAGTGATGGGTGGATAAGAGGTGAGAAGAGGAAGAGAGGCGTGGAAGAAGGAGGGGAAGGGAAGAAAGGAGTGGTGGAATATGGGGTGGGGGAGGAAAAGGGGGAGGTTTTAGTAGGGATAGGAGGAGAAGCAGGTGGCTGGAGAGAGGGGAGGAAGGAAGGGAGAGAAAGGAAGGGAGGGAGGAGGAGGAAAGAAGAAGGTTGAAAGGAGGGGAAGGGGAGAAGAAAGAAGGGATGGAGGAGGGGAAAAGAGAAACGGGGGATAGAGAAGCATGGAAATGAGGGAAGAACAAATGGGGGTGCAAAGAGGAGGAGGGGAGGAAAAGGGGAAAAGGAAGAAGGGATGGAGGGAGAGGAAAAGAGGGGAAAGGGAGAAGAAAGAAGGGGTAGAGGAATAGAAGAGAAGAAAGAAGGGACAAAGAAGCAAGGGAGGAGGGGGAAACAGAGGAAAGGGAGAAAGAGGGGATCAAGAAGCAAGGAAAGAGAAGAAGGAAGTAGAGAAGGAGGGATGGGAGTGTGAAGGGGAGGAGAAGTGGAGGAGGGTAAAGGGAAGCTGGCATGGAGGGGAAGGAAAAGACAGGAGAGGAGGAGGAAAAGGAGGAAAGGAAGAAGGGGAGGAGCAGGAGGAAAAGAGGGAAAGGGGAGGAGGAAGAAGGGGTGGAGGAGGGGAAAAGAGAGGAAAGAGAGAAAGAGGAAACAGAGATGCAAGGAAAGAGGGGAGGAAAGGAAGGAAGGAAGGAAGGGAAAGGAGAAATGAGATGGGAGTGTGAAGGGGAAGAGAAAAAGGGAAGGAGGAAATGGGAAGCAGGCATGGAGGGGGAGGAAAAGACAGGAGGGGAGGAGGAAAGGAAGAAAGGATGAAGGAGGAAAAGAGGGGAAGGGGAGGCAAAAGATGGGAGGGAGGAGGAGGGGAAGACAGGAAAGAGGGAAAGAAGAGATAGAGAAACAAGGAAAGAGGGGGAGGAAGGAGGAAGTGATGGGGTGCAAAGACAAGGAGGGGATGAGGAAGGGATGGAGGAGGAGGAAAAGAGGGGAAGGGGAGGAGAAAGAATGGAGGGGGGCAGGGAGGAGGAGGGGAAGACAGGAAAGAGAGAAAGAAGGGGTAGAGAAGCAAGGAAAGAGAGGAAGGAAGGATGGAGGATGGGGTGCAAAGACAAGGAGGGGATGAGGAAGGGATGGAGGAGGAGGAAAAGAGGGGAAGGGGAGGAAAAAGAATGGAGGGGGGCAGGGAGGAGGAGGGGAAGACAGGAAAGAGAGAAAGAAGGGGTAGAGAAGCAAGGAAAGAGGGATGGAGGAAGAGATGGGAGTGGGAAAGGGAGGAGGAAATGGGAAGCAGGCATGGAGGGGGAGGAAAAGACAGGAGGGGAGGAAGAAAGGAAGAAGGAGGAAAAGAGGGGAAGGAAAGGCGAGAGATGGGAGGGGGGAGGAGGGGAAGAGGAGAGAAAGAAGAGATAGAGAAGCAAAGAAAGAAGGGGAGGAAGGAAGAAGAGATGGGGTGCAAAGAGAAGGAGAAGGGGAGGAGGAAAAGGAGGAAGGGATGGAGTAGGTGGAAAAGAGGGGAAGGGGAGGAGAAAGAATGGAGGGAGGGAGGAGGGGAAGACAGGAAAGAGAGAAAGAAGGGGTAGAGAAGCAAAGAAAGAAGGGGAGGAAGGAAGAAGAGATGGAGTGTAAAGAGAAGGAGGAGGAAAGGAGGAAGGGATGGAGGAGGAGGAAAAGAGGAAGGGGAGGAGAAAGAATGGAGGGAGGCAGGGCGGGAGGAGGGGAAGGAAGGAAGGAAGGAAAGAAGGAAGGAAGGAAGGATGAAGAGATGGGAGTGGGAAGGGGAGGAGGAAAAGGGAAGCAGGCATGGAGGGGGAGGAGAAGACAGGAGGGGAGGAGGGGAGGATGGAAAGAGGAGAAGGAGGGCTGGAAGAGGAGGAGGAGAAGAAGAAGAGCGGAAGGAGACAATAAGGGGCAGGGAGGGAGGCGTCATCTAACAGAGGATGGAGAGATGGAGGATGCAGAGCACCCAGGCGGCAAAGGATGATGCGTGGTGTCGGCCTCACCTCCGCTTCAGGAAGGATGGGCAAGCAGGCGAGGCCGCCTCTCCCTCCTCCTCTTCTCCTTCCTCCTCTTCTCCTCCTTCTCTTTCTTCCTCCTCTTCCTCTTCGCGGCTGGCTGAAGCACCCTTCTCTCTTCTTCTTCCCGCGACAGGGAGCGCTTGACTAGCAGGCGAAGCAGCAGCGGTGCCCGCCTCCCTCCCTCCCTCCTTCCCTCCTTCCCTCCCTCTTTCCCTTTCTCCCTCCTTCCCTCCCTCCCTCTCTTGTCTCCGGCTCCTCCTCCTCTCCTCCTTGCGCGCCTGCGCCCTGAGCACCAAATTGGGAATTGGGAAAAGAGAGGTTGCCTTGGGAGGGTTGGAGGATGCGACGCAGGAGGGATGAGAAGGCCTCCCTCCCTCCTCTCTACCTGAGAGAATGGAAGAGAGATGCGCGCACATGCGCACCTCCGCCTCTCTCCGTGAAAGGAGAGGGTGGGGAGGGGGATGGTGGGGTGGTACCCACTGCGCAGGTGCTGTCGCGGTTCAGAGTTGGGATGGTGATGGCAACCGCGTTGCTAGGCGACGTTGGCCCGTCACAAAGGACGCAGAGACAGGAGAGAGGGGGGCAGGAACTGGGCAGGAGGAGGAGGAGAAAGTGGCCCCATACAGAAGCCACACTGCGCCTTCTTCTCCCCACTCTCCAGCACCCCAAACTTTGGTCCTCTCTTTTGGACTCCGACTCCCAGAAGCCTCGGCCAGCTTGGACAACAGTGGGGTATTCTGGGAGCTGAAGTCCAAAAACACCTGAAAGAACAAAGCATTGAGCGCATCCCTAGCAGCAGCAGCTGTCCAGCCTCAAGTCTAGCACAGGTATGGGCAAGTTTCAGCACTCCAGGTGTTTTGAACTCTAACTCCCACAATTGTGGGAGTTGAAGTCCAAAACACCTGAAGGGCCTCTAGTCACTTCTGGACCAGCCAATGCCTTAAATTAGTGTTTCTCACATGCCGCATTATCACAGGGTGTCTGCGCCCTACACCACTGGAGAAATTACACTGCTTAGCTGGTATTGCATCACCTGACATCCGCCGGGAAGTAGCAGCCAATAGTGAAAGGACCAAGGCAGTGACATCTCCAGCTCATCCCCAGTTTGGGTATCAGCCAGCACGTCAACGACTTAAATCTAGAAATAGTTTTCTTAGATCTACAGAGACACTCGCTGGAACACCTCAGCAAGCAAGATTCCAAAAGTGGCAGGCTCAAACCCAGAACCTCAAGAAATGGCTGATACCAAATGAGAGACTCCCCTCTGGGCACACAGAAGACTTGGAAGGTGCTGAACAGACTGCGCTCTGGCACCACGAGATGCAGAGCCAACCTTAAGAAATTGGGCCACGAAGTGGAATCCACGACATGCGAGTGCGGAGAAGAGCAAACCACTGACCACCTCCTGCAATGCAACCTGAGCCCTGCCACACGCACAATGGAGGACCTTCTTGCGGCAACACCAGAGGCACTCCAAGTGGCCAGATACTGGTCAAAGGACATTTAATCAACTACCAAGCTTGAAAACTTTGTGTTGTTATTTTTTATCTGATTGTTTGTTTTGTTCTGTTAGAAATGTAATACAATGTTCTGGTTGCGGATGACACGATAAATAAATAAACCTGGGGGTCAGGACCCCTGGAGGGGTCGCGAGAGGGTGTCAGAGGAGTCACCAAAGACCACCAGAGAAGACAGTATTTTTTGTTGGTCATGAAGGTTGTGTGTGGGATGTTTGGCCCTACTCTATCGTTGGTAGGGTTCAGAATGCTCTTTGATTGTAGGTGAACTATAAATCCCAGCAACTATAACTCCCATATGTCCAGGTCTATTTTCCCCAAACTCCACTAGGGTTTACGATTGGGTATATTGAGAACTCGTGCCAAATTTGGTCCAGATCCATCATTGTTTGAGTCCACAGTGCTCTCTGGATGTAGGTAAATTACAACTCCCAAAACTCAAGGTCAGTGCCCACCAAACCCTTGCAGTATTTTCTGTTGGTCATGGGAGTTCTGTATGCCAAGTTTGATTCAATTCCATCGTTGGTGGAGTTCAGAATGCTTTTTGATTGTAGGTGAACTATCAATCCCAGCAACTACAACTCCCACAGGACAAAATCAATACGCTCCCCCAATCCCACCAGTATTCACATTTGGGTGTATTGGGTATTTGTGCCAAATTTGGTCCAGTGTATAAAAATACATCCTGCATATCAGATATTTACATTACTACTATTCATAACAGCAGCAAAATGACGGTTATGAAGTAGCAATGAAACTAATTTTATGGTTGGGGGTCACCATAACATGAGGAAGCATATTAAGGGGTCGTGGCATTAGGAAGGTTGAGAACCACAGCCTTAAATCAAGAAATAGTTTTTGAAGATCTATAGAGATACTCTCAGGAACACCTCAGCAAGCAAGAGTCCAAAAGTGGCAGGCTAAAAGCCGGAACCTCAACCCGTGACTGATAACAGCTATTGTAAACCTGGGACCGAAGACTGGAGACCTCGGTACACTCCTTCTATACCTGGGACGTCGTCCTCTTCCACCAAGCATGCAGGTTCAGGAGGGACGCACATGGAGCGGTGAGGGAGGAAGGGGACACCTGCCTAGCCAGGCAGATCAACTGAATCAACCCTGGCAATCAATGGGGTGAGAGATGTCACAGCCAGATCGCCTTCACATCACAAATGAGGGACTCCTCCTGGGCACACAGAAGACTGGGCAACTTGGAAGGTGCTGAAGAGACTGCGCTCTGGCACCACGAGATGCAGAGCCAACCTTAGGAATTAATAATAATAATAAAAACTTTATTTATACCCTGCCACCATCTCCCCAAGGGGACTCGGGCCGGCTTACATGAGGCCAAGCCCAGCAATATAATAAAACAATATAACACAAGAACACAACAGAAAATAAGAAACTAAAAAACAACATAAGATACAAAACCAATATAAATAAACAGAGCAGCAATATAAAATCAGAACATTAAAACACAGAGAATTGATCAAAGACTAAAATTTAAAACACTGGGTGAGAGGACCATGTAATATATCAGGACAGGGGGTCCAAGGGATAGGGTTTAATTGCACAACAGGTAAAATAAAGTGCTACTGAGGGCATTTTATGTAGAGATTGGTCAGGGATTATTATACATACCATCATTGAAGGCACACTGGAACAGCCAAGTTTTCAGCCTCCTCCTAAAGACTGCCAGGGTGGGGCCACAAAGTGGAGTACACAATGTGGGAGTGTGGAGAAGAGCAAACCACAGACCACCTATTACAATGCAGCCTGAGCCCTGCCACATGCACAATGGAGGACCTTCTTACAGCAACACCAGAGGCACTCCAAGTGTTCAGCTACTCGTCAAAGGACATTTAATAGAATGGCAAGTTTTTAAACTTAGTGTTTTCTCAAACACATCAGAACTGTACCCTTGGTTCGCTCCTGAAACAATAAATAAATACTCAGAGGGCCAAAGTTTGCCCATGCTTGAGCTAGCTACTCCAGCAAAGGATAACCACATTGTCGTGGCGCTGGAGCTTGAGCACCTCAATGATGTCATGAGCAAAACTGTGAAGGGCCACCCAAGACGGGACGGTCGTGGCAGAGAGGTCAGACCAAGCGTGATCCCTGGGGAAGGCAATGGCAAACCACCCCAGTATCCTTGCCAAGAAAACTAAATGTACCAGTACAAACAGAGATATGTCGGTATGCCATTGGAAGATGGGACTCCCAGGTCGGAAGATGGCCAAAATGCTACTGGGGAGGAGCAGAGGATAAGTCCAACTAGCCCCAGATATATGCACAGTCATAGCTGTGTTAGTCTGGGATATCAATACGCAAAGGGATATTGTAGCATTATTTCTTCTCACGTGGAAATAGTGCTGCTGAAATAGACCTGAGCCTATCCTTGTTCAACATCACCCTTTCTTCACCTGCAAAGGGATCTTGTAGCAGCCTAGAGGCTGTTGTATGCCAGAACAGGAACACCTCTGTCTTTAAATACCATCCCAGTGTAGAAAATCAGCAAGCAGTTTATTGAAGGATATAGGTGAGCAAAGAAATGAAAATGATAAAAACAATATAGGCCAAAGCAATGTTGTTCTAAGATAAAAGTCAGCCCATAAACATGCAGGTAACAAGATGAAAACACAAGATCCAAGGTACAGAATCCATATAACAAGGCAACAAGACAATCCAATGAACAGAACAGAAACTTGGCAAAACTTGAAACATGAAACTAGAAATCCACTTGGAGAAACAAGACTGTCATGAAGTATCAACATTGACAGGAAAGAAGTGACACTTCCCCTGGGATCAATATAAAGCCTTTCCTGGCCCCTGAAATGAAAGGAAAGCATTTCAATTCCCCTTGCAACCAGATAAAGCTTTCTTATCTCTCTTCTCCTGCAGATGAATTGACCTCCTTTGAGCCTGAGAACTATGCCTCCATTTACAAAAGTCTAGTTCATCCTCATTAAATTCTGCACCTGACAAATTATCCTCAGAGAAAGACTGCTGTGGCCTGTTCCCAGGAACATGGATAGTGGAGGATGGTGATTTCAGTGCTGGTGGTGTTCGCATCTTCTTCCCAAGATATTTGCAGGATTTTTGAAGGCTGTGCTGATGGAATCTTTTCAGAATTTTGCAATACCAGCAAGTAAGCTTAATGATGTAATGCTAGAAAATGTTGACCATTTCCTCTTTCCTGCTATAGAATCGTAGAATCATAGAGTTGGAAGAGACCTCATAGGCCATCCAGTCCAATCCCATTCTGCCAAGAAGCAGAAAAATCACATTCAATGCTCTCCCAACAGATGGCAATCCAGCCTCTGTTTAAACGCCTCCAAAGAAGGAGCCTCCACCACACTCCGGGGCAGAGAGTTCCACTGCTGAACAGCACTCACAGTCAGGAAGTTCTTCCTAATGTTCAGATGAAATCTCCTTTCTTGTAGTTTGAAGCCATTGTTCCATTGCATCCTAGTCTCCAGGGCAGCAGAAAACAAGCTTTCTCCCTCCTCCCTATGACTTCTTCTCACATATTTATACATGGCTATCATGTCTCTTCTCAACCTTCTCTTCTACAAGCTAAACATGCCCAGCTCTTTAAGCCGCTCCTCATAGGGCTTGTTTTCCAGACCCTTGATCATTTTAGTTACTGTCCTCTTGACACATTCCAGCTTGTCAATATCTCTCTTCAAT